CACCCCCTCCCCCCGGTCAAAGGTGTCCCTCTTTACCAATCTGAAAATCTGGTCACCTTAAAAATAGCTGACTTTAGTATGTTGTGCAAATCCAGTTTTTGTAATTGCTTTATGGTTCAGCGGGTTGTGCAGATCTGAGCAGCTGTTATTTTGAATGGATTATGGTTCAGTTGGCCATGAATTAATGTGCCATGCAGAAAGCTACCAGTTCTGAGCTGCAGTACCCAGATAATCACTAGTTGAGAACTATTTTGAACTCGGGCTCCTGAGGTAATGACGAGGCTCAGTGCTAACACAACAGTTTTGTTAGAACAGTAACTAGACAGGAACATGAACAAACGCTCTGACAGCCCTTTTATACCCCGAGCTGTCAGTGCGCTAACCAATAGGAACCTTCCAAATCTCCCGCCTAAACAACACACGAACGGACCAATCAAACCACACCCTGCCTGATTGACAAGAGAGGGCGGGACATGCAGATATGTGAAAAGAACAATGAGTCAAGCTATGGAGATGTGGCTTGAATTTTTGTAGCTCACATCTGATGGAACCCTTACATTGTAAACCCAGTCTTAGATTTCGATTATAATTAATACAGAGAAAACAAAACTTTCATAACTAATTAGATAATGAAATTTGCATAGATTTAGTAATTTAATTTTGTTGGTTTAAAGAGGGTTTTTCATTAAAAATTTCCAGATGTACAAGACTGCATGATTGACTTTGTGTTCACAGGATTTGTTAAGTTCTGTATTTGTGGGTTTTTAATAGGAAATTCTAATACAATTTTCTTATTTTTTTTTCTAAGAATTGGGCCAAAGAAAGAAATCCTTAATAGAATGCTGAAAATTGTCCCATTTGATATGGTAAGTGGTGTGTCAAGAGGTTCATCTGACTGTCAGGAACCTCTAGTAATTATTTTATACAGTACTGCACCCTTGAAAGATGAATTATTCTTATGGTGTACTCATAACATCATTTCAACGCATTTTGCATTTCTTTTTTTCACTCTTCTTTTAAATGCTGCAAAGGTCTGGTTCAAATAAAGATTTCCCACTGAATCTGCAGTTTTTCATTTTAAAAGTTTTTTCTCTTCTTTAAGGGGAAGTTGTTTGATCCTATAATAGTTTGATGGTTATTATAATGGTTTGGTTGGAACTGAATACTGTAGTTGTTTTCAAACATGCAGTAATTTCATATAGGTCTGCTCTGCTTTAAGGCTCTCTGAGCCAGCTTGGTGTAGCGTTTTGGGACATCAAGGTAGAATCTAGGCATTGTGTGTTATAGTCTTGTCTTGACTGAAGGTAAATGGAGAACTTTGGCCAAGTCATACCTTCTCAGCCTCAGGGAACAGGCAATATCAAAATCTGAAAATTTTCTGAAAATCTGGGAAAGAAAACTGCAGGGGTTGGTCTAGACAGTGGAAGCTGATCCTCCATTTGCAGGAATATGCTAGAAAGAAGAACAAGACTGCTCTAGGCAGTGGCTGGGAGTTTACACNCCCTTCTTTCTCCGCGCTCGCTGTTGTCGCCCTGTTGATGACATCAGCGATGCGGTTTAATCGGGCGCGGCTTAGTCAAGCGCGGTTTTGTCGTGCCACGGGTTTCTAGGCTAGCCCATTGCTGCATGGGCTATGCCATTATTTTATTAAATATTATACATATCTCATTTTTCTCTGAAAAAGATTTTATAAATTATTATTCAATGAAAAAAATATCAGAATAAAAAAATACAAAGCAGAAAAATAAATCAACAAGGACCGGCCCTTAAAATCAAAACCTGGGGTTATGTGAATATTTTGTTTTTTCAGGGAAAGAAAAATCCTGTTCATATTCAATAACCCTCCCCACAAAAATAATGAACAGCCTCCCCCAATTGTATTTCTTCCACTCTAGTCATGTGAACTTTAACTCCTGACATTCTCAATAATAATTGTATGCTGGATGAAGTCCACATATCTGGATGAAGTCCACATATTCACATATTATGTGAATTTATGAATTATTTTATAGTAACTTGATGACTGAAAGTAGATTTAGAGGAAATTTTATATCATGCATTTCCAGCTTGATTAATTAAATTCGGATTCCAAATCCTCTTGATATATATTTCTAAAATGTTCAGGAAAGCCTGTTGGATTTCATCTGAGAATTCCAAACAGCACTGAAGTGTTCCTTTTATTTAAAATAAACTGTTTAAATGCTGTTCATGGTTTTAATCAATGGGTTCTGGTAAGTCAAAAAGAAATGTTTGAATTTGTCTAATCTGTCCACTCTTCCTCCAGCTGAGTGAAGGGTAGACCCATCCATTTTATTTCCACAACAAATCTCTGAAACAGGGCAGGCTGAAAGAAAGGTCAAAATCGCCTGTCCTTATTCCTATTAGGGTTCACATCACATAATTAAATTAAATTAAAAATGCAACTAAAAGCTAAGATCAAACAAAATATAATTCTTACCTAGGTCAAAGAAAAAAAATATTCAACTGATAGAAAAAAGACAATCTTTTATGAGAATGCCTCAAAGTTATCAAAGGTCACCTGAGGCGGAAAATTCCATAGCATTCATTGTCTTTTCCATAGCCTTTATTACTGAAAAATGTTGCTTATTAACAGATTTTCAATGGTAATATGTTAGGGGGAATATAATGACGGGTAAGTAAAGGTTCCATCTAACTTTTTTTTAATTACAAGAAGAGGCTGTTAATGATATATTATAATTTGTATATGAAAAAGTAGGATAAGACATTGCAGATTTGCATACCCCATTTCAATAGTTGATCCAAGGAAGGATGGTATGCAGGAATCTGCAGCTGCTAATGTATATGGTGGACGGGCTGAAGAATCATTCCAGTAAATATCTTTTTTCATTCTTGGTAAATTCATATGCATTTCATCAACAGCCAATAGTGAAACCTATAAGAATTAAGAATTAGAACACCTGCCATGCACATTTTAAATATCTCAAATATAAGTCACAATCCAAAGAACTGCATAATACAACCATATCATTTTTATTTAAAGCAGCAACAGCAGCCTGTACTTTTCTGGGCCAAAAGGAGAGTTTAAAATGTGGTAACCATGTAAGAGGAAACAAATCTTTAGAAGATGCTTTTAGATCTTTAGATATCCAGTAACTGAGTGAGACAGCCTTGATGTAGCCTTACCTGCAATCAGAATGAATCAAATTAGAACAAAAATTAGACAATCTCAGAAGGGGGGGAGCCTGTTGCAAGACCTAATGGATATTAATAACGAGTCAGCTTCCGTCATGTAATCCTGACAGAAGACATTCTACCAGAGAAGTCTACAGGTTACCAAATCTAATCACTCTGGCTACTCCCACCAGCATAGTTTAAAAATCCCAGGAACAGAAATGCTCAAAACAGGGGGGAAATCCTTATTTGGAATGGTTCTTTAATTATGTTTTAAAAGATGGCTTTCTAATATTACTACCTGAATGTTGCTGGAATATTTCTTTCTCAATTTCTAGACACTGCATGCTCAGACTTCTTGCTGAACAGCTCCATTATTGCTTCAGTAACCTTGCCATGAACTGCATCTTACTCTACTGGATAACACCCAGCAATATATTTTGAATGCCTTGATCCATATTGTAGCATTAGTTGCAGTTGCACATGATAAGACAATGTTTGTAGACCCCTTGACAGTAATACAAAAAAGTAACCTAAGCAGGAATTGAAATGTAAATGAAAAAGCGAATGAACCAACAGCAAGGAAGCTTCAGCAGCTTGCAAAATGAGCACTGTATATGAGCACTGAACTATAAATAATTTTACTTTAATCCAGAAAATATTTATAAAGATGGGAGCAGGATGCAACACTTGTGCTATTTCTTGCTAGAAATTGCATAAATTTATGATGTTGCAAGACAGCAAAAAATAGCAATCAGATGAAGCAAAAGGGTGTTACCTGGAGATTCCTATCTATGCACCAGTTTGTTTCAAAATCATCATCATCTTCACCAAATGGGTTGATAAGTTGCTCAGCAACCTGTAATTAAAGTTGGATTATCCAAAGCTGATTTACAAACACATCTAACCATTACAGATATGAACGGTTCTTTGGCAACATCAAGGAGAAATTCACATAGAATAGATACACTACATTGTGTGATGAGATATTTATGGACATGCCATATTTGTAAGCATTAATCCTTGGTTTTTCAAGAGACTATTGCTTTGTGTATTTATTTGTTAGATGGATATGTTGCATTCCTCTCCAGATACAACACTCAGAACAGCCTAACAAAAATAAATAGAACAAAACATTAAAAATGGACAGCTGAAGGTGTAAATATTTGCATATTTATTTATTTATTGCAATTATTTATATTCTGCTTTTTGGGATTATAATCCTCCCAAATTATCTTTCAAACAATTCCACCCAAACAATACATATTATTTAAAAACAAAGTAACAACATTCAAAGAACTTTCCCACAAGACACTTGTTGGTAACAAATGGAAATCAGAGCAGGCTATAGGGTTCATCTTACATTGCCTTTCACCCTCTCTCCTTCCCACAACACAGTTGATAGAGTGAGCTAGAAGCAATCAAGGATGTAGGATGTCAACTCTTCACGAGTGGAACGGTATCCAGTCATAGTGATTACAATTCATAAAAGTCTCAGAAAGTTGGGAAATGGTGGCCTAGAATGAAATAGTGGAAGCATGAGGTAGAACCATGAGGTGCAAAAGGTGGTTTGATAGGTGGGATTCCTCTGAATATTCTTCCTCCATTGTAAAATATACCATACTTAGGTAAAATATGCTAGGCTTGTTTTGCTGCATTCCTGTTTATGATTGGTACTGTTTGATATACTTTCCTAGACCATCCAATATCTTTCCACCTTATTTATTCAATTTACATGCCGAATAAATATTAAGGGAAATTGGATTGGGGTGAGATGAGTGTGGTTTTAACATTGCAGAAAGAAACATCAATAACTTGCATTATTCTGATGACACAATATTGATAACTGAAAATACAAAGGAGCTGCAAGCTGTAAAGTAGTAATAAAAGTCAAGCAGCACAGTGAAAAATGGACTGAAATTAAACAGGAAGAAAACCAAATGAATGGCAACAGTGACAACACTTCAGCCTTAAAACTGATAATGCAGCTATTGAAGTGATAGATAGCTTCTGCTTTTTAGGATGAACCGTCAAAAGTAAGGGAACAATCAGTCAAGAAAGACACATAGGCTAGTACTTGGAGGAACATCCATGAAGACCTTTGAAAAGTTATTCAGATGTGTGTCTATAAATATGGAATAGTTGTGAGATGCAAGCAACCAGAACCACATGTGAACAGTTGAAGTCAGTACTTTCTACCACCTATGTTACAAGGATCTCATCAGGCTGCTTGCTTCCTCTGGGAACGATCATGGATTTGTGGGGAGGTCAAGTTATACTGCTGCTTGTGGCCGCACAACAACTCCTTGCTTGACTCCTCATTCCAGCCTATTTGGCAGTTTCTCATCAATAATGCAGGCAATAGTATTCCCTGTAACACTTTATAGATGTGAAAGTATGGCTTTAAAGAAGCTGATGCTTTTGAACCTTACTGCTTGAGAAGACTCCTGAAAATACTATGGATATCTAAAAAACAAACAAATGAATCATAAAACAAATAAACCCATAGTTTAAAGTACAAATGACCAAGCTCAAATTATCCTACTTCAGGCACATTAAGGAAAATTACAGCTCTCTGGAAGAGGCTCTTTTGCTGATAAAAATGGAAAGAAAGAGAGGAAGAGCAAGATTATCTGGAAGGTGGATTGACTTGGTTACAGTGGCAATGGGTGAACCACTGAAATGCCAGGAAGATTAGGTTAGAAAGAGATAGTCATGGAGAAAATCCATGTTTGTTAAGAATCAACACTGACTTAATGGCACACAATCAATCAATCAATTTTCTTTGTACATTACCTTGAATCTCAGAGGACTTTGTCTATTATTCTTATTTATTCATATTTCCCTAGCTGTTCCATATGTTTTTCTTCTACATGGGCATCCAATCCTTATATCTTAAACCAAGACTGCAGTAGTTGTATTTTCTTTTATTTCACTATGAAACAAACTAATAATCACTAAGTAAATAAAGTCTACAATTTTATCAAGCGGCTAGATTAGTAAACAATCTGGCATTCTTTATTATTCAATTTCTTTTGCTCCAGACATCCCTCAAAAGTATCATGGCAAAGTTGTAATCTGGAAAATACTAAATTTCCTCTTCCTATGAACAAGTTGGTTATTTTATGTATTGGCAAAACTACAACAGGACACCCTTAAATGAAATTGAAAGATATATACAAGTGTGACAACACTAAGAAACTTTGTATTGGCTAGCTGCATTGGTATGTGGCATATAATCTCACAGGATTGAATGGAATGCAATGGAAGACAATTACATGTTATTTTAGACACTTGGCTACCACAACAAAAAGGATTACAGACTAATCCCAGACAACAAGGGCTAGGATTAAAAGGATTTCATGTGAGAAAATCACTGTCCTATATATAATGTGATTGGCAGGCAAGCAACAACTTAAAATCATCTGGCTTTAAAACTGTTTTCCTTGCAAAAGAATACACATACTCTTATAATTAAATGTCCTTTGTGAATCAGAGATATAGATGAAAACATATCCAGAGGAAAATACATTTCTGCATCCTTTGTTATGCTGAAGCAGGTAACAATTTTGTACTAATTATATTAAAATAATTCAGCATATCCATTTCAACAGGCAAATTCCATTTAGGATGTCTTAACATCTTGACTTTGCTATGATGAAATTTACTGTCAGCCTCTGCTTTGCTGCTGCTTCGGCTGCCATTGAAACGGGGAGGGGGGCATTATATTTGGGAAGGGAATCGTTATGTGTTAGAGGAAGATTCTAGACGCTGACCTGACCATCTCATTGCGTATGTGGAGGAAGGGAGTTTCCCGCCAAGGTTAACTGTCCAGCATTCCATCCTGGTGATGGTTTTTGAAGATATCTCCCACCTGACAGTTGGGTGAATTATAATTGGACTATGGACTGGGGTGCCAAGGGGAGGGGATTGAATTATACATTCTTTGCTTTTGCGCCTAATTAACCAGATTCAGCTTAGCTTCACTACTTTTCATTTGTAATTAGTAAAAGTACACTTAATTTCAAACAAATGGAGTTGAGTGATTTCTTTCCTGATTATTAAATGAAGTCGCACCTGACATTTACTTTGTGAAAAATACCAAAGGGAGAAGTATTTTTTATTTAGTAAGACTAAGTCAGAAACCAGTTATATGTGTTGCAGAGATATGTATTATTGGACATTAACAGAACTGAAAATTTGCTGCTATTTTTGTTTGATTATGGTTTTAGAGTAGTTTATCAGCTTTGTCCTATTTTATTGCATGTATTTGATTTTAATAGTGTTTTGGAAATATAACATATTATTTTATTGTATATTATTTTATAATATACAATAATAAATAACACTAAGGTACTACAACCACAACATTGTTAAATCAGAAGCTAGGATACCAATAATGCTAGAAATTAGAATAACAGTCTGGATTATTCTTTAAAAGTTATAGCCCAAAATATTATGCAAGAAAACCAGCTCATGTAAAAGGACAGTGTTTGTTTTTCCTTTTGTTTTGGCTGTGCTTGGTCCAAATCTATCCTGGAAAGCCATTCAGTCCTTTGAAACTAATTTGGAGCAGTGAAGGAGCAGAAAAATCTATTTTTCACCAGTGGATGTTATATGCCAGCAGAATGACCTTCTTCAATATCCAATCCTTATTTATTTTACCATTAATACACTAAATTTTCTTGAAACTGGTTTTTATTCTGTTTAAACTGTATAGCCTGCCACGATAAATTTGTAATATAGCTCATGAATTTTAGTGAAAACAAATACTTATTACAAATCAAGTTTGCATGCATAGGTTTATTGCCTGTTAACCACTAGGTATAAAATATATAAGATAGTTAGACGGATTCTCCACTTGTACCTTCCCCCCCCCCCAAAAGACATACTTTGCATGTATCCGTTAGACTAGTTATATTTTCACGGCTTTTATTTCTTCTTCTCTCAGTTCAGTTAGTCTTTTATTTTCTGATATTGACCAGTTAGTTTTGGCAGCTACCTAAGTTGTCACTTCACAATAGAAGGAAGCGCCTACAGGCTTCCATATGTAATAGACAAGGAAAACAGAGGTGATTTTTTTTCACTATGTTATATGCTGAGTAAGACATACCTTTATTTTTTCCCACACAAACACCAGCCTCAACAATATGTTCCTATAAAAGTTATTTGCCTGACTTTAATATTCCTTTCTTCATTCTTTCCACAACATAGAACTATCTACTATATAATACTTGACTTCTATAACAAAATCAGATTGAAATATATGTACATTTCATATTACTCCTTTCTCAAATAGGCATCAGTAGAAAATAAAGTTCCTTTACAAGAAAGATTATTAGGAATTTATTTTCTTAGGTAGTAAAAATCCATTATAGGTTAAACAAGCATTACTAGAGGCAGTGAAGGGAGGAAAATGGCACTCTACACTAGCATTGATGACTTGTTTACATTAATTATAAAAAAGCAAGGTAAACCACTTCCATCTAATGGACATATTCTGGCACTATGTCTGATTTAATTTCATTTCAATAGTACATTATAATAGCACAGCAATGTGGTTAATCCATGTATCCTACCAAAACATGATAAAACAATAGTGCTTGTATTAAAAGCAAGCAAATAAACACCCAAAATATAATTAGCTCTAGAATCTGCAGAATTTATTCTAATGAATGATTAATAGAAATGTTTTAATGGCATCAGTATATTTTCTAGATGTTGTTGCCTTAAATATTCTTCACTTAAATTATATTCCATTTTAATAAATCCAAATGCAAAATAAAATTTGCACTTATTCTCCACATGGAAAACAAAAAGTAGCATTTATAGTGGGTTCAATGAAATTACTTAAAATACAGAAAGAACTATGACCCAGATTGTTGGGGGCAATATGCTGACTCTCTGTAAACCGCTTAGAGAGGCCTGAAAGGCCTATGAAGCGGTATATAAGTCTACTGCTATTGCTATTGCTATTGCTATTTACAGATATTAAGCTTGACAAGAAATAACTATCAATTATGACAGTTAATTACTCACTTGAATCCCTTTCCTAAAAGATATAAACTTAGAAAAAAATATAGACTCAATGTTACGTGATCTGTGATATCTTTTAATTTTGAGATCTTGCATGCAAGAAGTCTGAAGTTTGTATTACTGTAAGAGCATTGGCTGAATATGTACATCCAGCTGTATTTAACAATACAACCAAGCCAAGTCAAAGGCAGGCAATTTGATCTTTGAAGAAAATTAAGCAAAAATTGGAAACCGTTTCCTTTAATTAGCTTTGCTCTTGTTTGAGGCCTGGTGATGAACATCTGATAGCTATGACTCATTCTTTGGGGATCTCCTCTTGGAATGTTGTGAATCTTTCCATTTTGTCTAATGAAGTGATCTATGAAATTTGAAACTTGTGATTTCCTCAGACCAGGCACAGACACTTACACAGAATGCAGTTGAATATCAGAATGGTTTCTGCAGTTCTGATAGTAGGCTATATATAAACCTGGGAAATTGTATGGATGACAGTGGGCCTAGGAATAAATAGTTAAATACATCTACACCCCTGATAATGGGCAGGGTTTATCAAGGTACTATAAATATGCATATGAGGTTTGATCTCGAAGTACAGCTAACACTGTAGTTATAAATGCTAAATACTTTGATGTGTCTTATCGTTAGTGTTAATGTGTAAGAGATATGTTCAGTGCAGAGGTACTCAAGGTCTCTTATGCAGACAAACAGCTTTGTTAGCTCTTTAAAATGCGCACAAATGTTTTTATAGCACTATTGTACAACTGTAAAGTATTTCTTGCTTCATGACAATTGGTGCTAAGTAAATTGTTAACTCAGATTCCCAGAAAATATTAAAATTTTAGCAAAATTTTATTCACGTTCATGTAAGAAAACTTTCATTCACATGAGTCTCTGGTTTCGAAGAAAACTATCAGAAAATTCCAACCCTTTTTAACATTATTGTTTACCTTAAGCCATCCTGCATAGAAGAAAAACTGTAACAATGTGAAGATAGGAATGTAAAGATCTAAATCATGACCTGGGATGCTTTGGTCAGGATCCAAAAACTGACGCCCAATAAGGCAGGTGAAGAAGAAGGTATAAACAGCCAGGGTGACAACCTAGAAGAGTTAACATTCATACAAAGTTATGAATGTAACAATGAATGCAGGATGTTTTCTATACAGTATATCTAAAGACCTGCCTTCCTTAACTTCTGTGGTATTGTATTACAATGTCCAGAATTCCTAGTCAACAAGGGCAACAAGAAATATCTAGGGAAATCTAACTTGAGGAGGCATGCAAAAGACTATATTTTGAAGATACGAATTACAAAACGTGATGGCCCATTCAATGCAAAATGTTTCTATTTCTGAAGATCTTGGATTTCATTCCTTGGTTGTACTTGGCAGTAAATAAACAAGGCTTATAAATCTCTGGTTCTTTAGATATGTTGCAAGTATGAATCTCGTTAGGATCAGCCACTCAGCCATTTATGACGCCATTAACACAGGGGTGAAATCTACTTACCTTTGCTACCAGTTCTCAAATGTGAGTGCACACATCACCTCTGCGTATGCACAGGAACTTCCGTGCATGCTCAGAGCATAAAAAACGGACATGGTGACGTCCGGGTGGGCGGGCAGAGCCTGCTACTGAGTGCGCCTGTAAGGTAAGTAGAACAGCAGTGTGTGGGGAATCTGCTGTGCCACACGATTTATATTAGCTAGAAAGCTGGAAAACCTGCTTTCTAGCTAATATAAATTACATGTCACAGCTGATCATTGGAAATAACGGTTCGTCCGAACTGGTCCAATCAGGTAGCATTTCACCCCTGCATTAACACTGTATCTGGAGATGATGGAACTGAGACTTGAATGCCTTAAATTAAGAAAAGCTAAATCAGAGTAGTGAGAGGTACAGAAACGTTTTCAATGCTTGAATATAAAAGTATTTATATATGAATTTAAAGTTTTCAGCACTCAAGATTTCACCCTACCCTAATACATCTCAGATATATTTAATAATATATAAGCATTCACTTTGTACCTGTGTGTACACGAGTGGAATTCCAACCCAGTCATAACCAAATAGTAGGCTACACCATGATCGAAACCGATTCATCTCCTAAATGGAAAATAAAAACAAATAGAGCAACTGATGTATTGTTGAGGATTATCACAATGTATTAATTATTATAGATACTGTATGATATTTGCCAGGAAGTAAGATAATGAATTCTGAGGCTATGTTCTGATGACACTTTTCTTTGGTGCTTTCCAGTCAATGTTGGCTTCTGGTGGCTGCCTGGAATAGTTCCTTGCAATTTACTTAGTGACTTTTGGGGAAATGTTTGGATTGCCTCTTTCCTAGGTTTGAGAGTCACTGGCCCCAGATTACCCAGATGCCTTTTTGCTTAAATTGGGATTAGTATTGATAATCTCCTGGTTTCTAATCTAGTGCTTCACTGCTACACTAAACTGAAGATTCCTTGGTTCTCTCGGAGTTTGGTTGTTTGCCCATAGATGTTTCATTACTCTACATGGTAACCTCTTTGTTTATATACAATATTTCCCTGCCAGTGTCGGTATGAGTGTGAGTTTATCTTTAATAGTTCTTTATTTAGGGTATTGTTTCTGCTAGATTTTTTTTGTCTGGTTCAGTATTAACTCCTGCTTATCTGGATGTTGGCTGCTGAAAAGGATATATTTTGGTCTTTTTGTTTCCTTTTTGGCTCTTTGATTGTCAGTATGTAGAAGTTGTTTATGTTCCTGTTGATGGCTAATTTGTCTGCATGCCAGGGTTCTAGGAATTTTCTAGCATTTTTGGCATTTTAGCTTGGTCTAGGATGCTCATAGTTTCCCAGTTGAAACAATGCTTAGGTTTGTCCATGTATTGTGAAATTAAGGTGTTTTCATCATGTCTTCTAGTTGAGGTTCAGGGATGTGCTCTGCTAGTCTTCTGCCCATTTGTCCTACAGAGTGGCTGTTATACAGTCCTTACACTGTATGTTGTAGATCATTTCTTTTCTTCTTCTTCTTGGACTACTGGGTCTTTTGGTTTCTGAAGATGCTTTAGAGGGTTTTAGTTGGCTTCTGTTCTCAATATTACATTGCTGTAATAGTCTGTTGGTTATTTCTGAGATGTTTCTGATATAAGAAAGAATGAACTGTCAAATGGTAAGCCAAACATCTATAGTAACAAGAGGCCATCAACAGCCATTTAACCAAATGTTTCCTGAAGCCTGGAGATAGCCTTCAGATACTGTACAGTGAAAACATTTAGGTTAGGAAGTGGGCAGTTTTGGAATATTCTTTTTGCCTTGAGTGTCATTTTCATCTATGAACAGCCTTGCACAGGAATACAAGAACAGCAAGTTTCAGAATATGAAAAAATGAAGATAGATAAAGAAATTGGAAAAACAATTTATATGGAGTAGATGAATAGAAAAATAAGTATTGTATTTTTGGCTTTCTAATATTTTTCACAATTGTTCACTGCATTTGCTTACTTACAATCATCAATGTTTGCAAGTCCACACTATCTTTGATTCTTCCATCTTGTCTTGCTTTGGTTGCCAAATTTCCAAACCAAACAAAAGGGATCCAATATTTAAGATGGGGTGATTTAAGATCATCAAATATTATCCTTTCTTCAGCTGTCATAAAACCTGTGTATAAAGAAATGCAGCTGGATTTTATGCATGCCCGTGTATTAAAATGTATGTTCACTTCTTCAAACAAGTAGTTTTTAATCCAGTGCTCAAATCAAAGATGACTACCAGTGGCCAACAGAAATGACTTTGAAGCTATTTTACTGTATCTGTCATGTGATGAACCCAATAAATGTTAATTTTACAACCTACACATCCACACAGCCACTATTTTATTTACAAAGAAAAGTAACAATACCTTACTATCTATATTTCTGTTATGCATGTTATGGCATGTTGTGTTTTAGTAATATCTTTTTGGCCCATTATATCTTATATAGTTTGAAAGAGCTTTGCTTCATAAAAAATTAGTTGTCTGAACTATGTATCAGTTCAATTCTTTCCTCTACAATATAGCTATTACATAAATATTTTACAGCAACACAACCTTAGCTGACTTTGCCAAAGGCAACTATCCTGTACATCACATTCAGTTCTCATCCCAACCACTTCACCTCCATACAATTAGTCTCTGATGTGTGAACTGAAGCCCTTGTTGCTAGATGATAAGCTTTTACTGAAGATTATAATAACAGCCTTGCTGATCAGATCAAGGCCTTAGTCCAGCATTTTATTTTTCAGAGTGACTGACAAGAGGCATCTGGCTGTATCATGGGATATAATCTACCTATTATCTATGGTTATTCTCTTGCAACTATCCACAGCATACTAGGCCCAGTAGAAATAACACTATATCAGTGGTTCCCAATGTGGGGCCCATAACCCACAGGGGGGCAATTTGATTTTTAATAGGGGCAATTTGAACCTTGTTTAAACCAAGTTAATGGCCTTTTAGGCTTCCTCTGTGTGAGTAGAGTTCATTTTTTGAGCAAATTAAGAATTATATGTCACGGGGGATTTCTAGCCCAGTGACAGACAGTACTGTGATACAGTGAGAATTGCACAAAGTGCTGAGTCGTATCCTGAGATTGGTCACATGAGAAACTGTACAAAATAAGGCAAGTTTCCCCAATATCTTTGTCTTCTATCATCCCACTGGGTATGAGGGCTAAAGATTGCGGAAGTTGTAATAAAAAGAGAATACCAGATTGGGGAAACCTGTAGTAAAGTATAAGATCATATTAAATTATAAAAATATTTATTTATTTAAAATATTTATATGGCCACCCATCTTAAGCAGCTTGGGTAGCTTACAGTAATCATAAAAACATAAAACTAATAGCTTCATCTCTACTTGTTTCTTGCAATGCAGTGTAATTATAGGGACTCCACATAAGCACTGTCCCAAATTTCTGCTACACTGGGAAATGTTGACTAACTAGGTCAAGACAGGAATGAAAATAAGTGAACAGTACCTCCTTCTACCACATGTTCTAAAGTTGGAAATCTCTTGTAGACAGCTGTGCTCACTGATCGAAAGATGAGGAGAGATGTTAAGTTTACATAACGCATTAGAGTTCTCCTGAGTAATCGGCCATACTCATCTCTTCCCTGAACAGTGCTGGAGATCAAGAACATAATTCTGTCTGGCCATGGCAGATTTACAAATTGGTTCCACCAGCGGTTCACCACCAAAGTAACATAAAACCCTGGAGAGTTCAAAAATCCTATTCACATTACTTGTTATATACCCAACAGAAGATCTTCTAATATTATGCATGCATAAACTCTATATATACTCTTCCAGTAATTCCCTTGACATCAAGCAGTAGATTCTTTTTTTCATCCATCCCTGCTCCAAATACATTGATGAAATCCCAAGTAAACCTTTATTTATATAGTGCTCTCCAACTATGGCCATGCTGGAAATTGTACCTCCAAGAGATCTGGAGAGCAGTAGGGTAGGGAAGGGTCTCCTAAACCAGGTGTGAGTCATTTTTAAGATTTGAGAGAAGCTGCAGCAGATGGGTTAACTAGTCACAAAGTAAGACTGGAACAATTGCCACATATAGTGAGGAAGGGGGTTTTATCCAGGGTTTTCTTTTAAAAAAAAAACCCTCCACATTAAGCCAATAGCTTAGTGTGGTGCCACCAATTAGAGGAAATCAATTGGAACTTTATTTATGTTTCCATTCCATCTCAAATCCTTAGGGATTGGGACAGGTTGCAACAACTGTACAGTATATTTTAGGTTTTACATTTCTATAAAGTAGCCTTGCAAGTGTTTCCATCCCTACTCTGCATGAAATGGAATGTAAGCTTACCCAGAACAAAAGTGACTGGAATTTGTTCTGCATATTTGTCACAGTAAAGGGACAATTTCTCAAAGTACCGTTTCTGGCTTCCTGAAAGGAAAAATCTGTGACAAAAAAAGACAGGGACTTTTGATATAAAGACTAAATAAATACAAGTTAAGAACAAAGTTAAGCATCCCAGCACTAGATTGTATATTGGACCTAACAGAAGGAAGGCAGTGAGAGATTCTGCAGTGAGAGATTTCACCGTTAGTTCCAGTTGGAGGTTGTAATAGCTACAGACTTCAAAGCTACATCAAATCTAGATCTGACCATAAGGGATTATATTAGTAATTGTAGCAGAGTGAAATCTTGAAACAATTGCAAAATAAATACTTGCACATTTAGTTTTGCTTCAAACTGCAATTCTACAGAGGGATGACATTCAATTAAGATTTGAAGCTGAGCTGAATTTTCTCATATCACATTCACTGAAGCTGCTCATTGTAAATTTATATCTCCATGAAATGACAATTGCCACGTGGTGTCCTTCAGAGATAATTGATTTACAATTGTCATGTCTTGATACTTTCCCCTCAATAGTGAAGACAAGAATTTTGTTTGGCACTTGCCTTCTTTGTCAAGATACAATTATGAAACATTAAACTATTTAAGTGTTTTATGAAAACATTATGAAATACTAAAACAATATGTAACTATGTTTTACAATACATTTGATTCTAAATATAACCAAAAATTCCAGAAAATAATTTTAGTGAATCGCCTAAATTATTTGCTTTAATTGCAAAACAATCAAATTATACAAGATGTTTGATAATGGCAAAAAGCAAGCTTGAAAAGCAGCGCTTTTGCACAGATCTTATAAATTTCAACACAGCTTTTTAAAACAAAACCTTCTTGAACAGTTATGATCTATTATATACCAAAAACAGCTTCATTTTCCAATTTCCAGTATTTGTGTAGTCAAAATGGTACCCTAGATGAATGTATAAAAGAGAAACACTGGCAGATATGGGGAAACATCAAGACTTGCAGAAATAAAAAAAATTAATAGGAAAAGTTTCTAAAGAAGGCATGTCCAACTGGGCCCTGCGGGCTGCATGCAGCCCTGGATGGCTAGTAAAATGATCGCACAAAATGTAACTAAAATATAAAAAATAAAGGAAATTTGTTATTTATATATATTAACTATATTATATATTTCACATGCAGCTCAAGACAATTTGTCTTCACTTAATGCAGCTCAAGTAAGCCAAAGGTTTGGACATCCATATTTTAAAGGAAGAATCTATAAAATATTTCTGTTAGGACTAAGCATGTAGAATGTGAAAAAAGTTGTACCTATACAATATACTTATCGCTGTGTAAAGACTGGCAAAGAGAATAAATTCTCTGTAAAGCAGTTTGTAGATGCTTCCTTTCCATTTGAGAAGTAGCCTGTGGAACCCAAAGAAGGTAGCATTTGCAACTTTACTGGAGTATGTGACGGTCATCTCTCCAAAATGCTTTTGAAAAAATGGAAGATAAAGGCACAACATGAAACCAATGGACTTCATGGAGAATATTGATTTAAACCTAAACGGTCATGGTTTTCACAATGAAAGGTGTCATCAGAATGTTCCTGAACTGGATATACTAGCACTGAGGATTTCCTACTTTGGGTAATGAAAACGTCTGCAAGAAAACAACTAAGCTCAGAGAACATCAAGGGCCCCTCATTTCAACCCTGAGCTTCAACTATTCTGCTTTATTGGGTATTTGTATAATTTCATCAAACTAGAGTTTTACAAGTTGCTCTTTTAGAATTACAGTAATGTAATTCATTCTCCAACCTGCTTCCCTTTGGATACATTAGAGTAACTTCAACAAAGCAGAAGTTAGTTACATGCAGAGATCACTTTTGATGTAGATAGTGAATTCCATAATTGATACCAGATCCTGCAACTGTGTAGCAATCCTGCTGACAGACAGGATATGCATTGCCTTACTCAACCACTAATCATGGCATTGCAAAAAGGTAATATCAATAAAATCTCAATGTACGACTGTTGAACTAGAACTTTCTTTAAAAATATTTTTATGTTTTGTGAGCTGCCCAGCATTGTTGTACATAATATAGCTCTTGTCCCTGATGTGAAATATTTTCATTGATTAAGCTAAATACAAAGTTACAAAATGTATTTGCCTTTATCAATGGTATACATCAGTAGTTGTCAACCTTTTCTACACTACAGACTCCCTTTAAATACCTTTCATGGCCATGGACCTCCAAGACTTAACTCAAGATTTAAATCATAACATTTCTTCAAGCCTTTGCAAACCCCCTGTGATGACATCATGCCCTTCCCAGCATCCGTGGACCACAGATTGAGAACCACTGGTATACATTGATCAGCAACAAGAAACTTTCTAATAAATATGTTAGTTGCAATTTTACTCATGGTTTCTGGAAGGCAAGATCCCTTGATGATAGTTGGGACCCAATGAATGTTAAAAAAGAATTAAAAATGACAAAAACATTAGCAGTGAGCCACATATTGATTCTAGTTCTAACACAAGTCATTCCATGGGCTTACTAAAATATATTTAAATATATTTAAGTATATGGAAAGTAATAATTAGAGGTATTATTCTTCCTTAAGGCCCAAATTACCAAAAACAACTAGAAGTTGGTAAAAGTTTGGGAGTCATCTTTGGTAGGAATATTTCCACCATATCTTTTCCATTTTTTAATGCAAACATTTTGGAGTAATTCCATACTGCTCTAAGCATGTGGAGTAAATCTAACATATAAGGAATGAAGTGATTGTGGAAGGGCCTCAACTATGTTTAAGCTAAGGGAGGACCTTTGTGGAGTTTACACCTCCACAAAGCTTTGCTATGTATTTTTGGAGGTGGTAAACTGTCTAGGTATTGATTAAATGTTAAATTAATTGTCTGCATTAGAAATGCGCTGTTAAGAAATCAGATATAGTTTTCAAGCACTCATAGCGATGCCAAAACAAAAAGAAACACAATAAGATTTTGGAAACACTCACCCTTTATTCTGGCTAGGGCACTCAAATACAGAGGTGATGATGTGGGGCTGTTGTGTTCCCCAAATAAAATCATTCAGGTTACTTTGTTCCTCTCTTTGCTTTCAGCACACAGCCTATCAGGGTTCTAATTTCTCCCTGGAGCTTTCACAGGACTGGATTGACAAGCACAGGGGTGAACGCATCTTTCCACTTCAGGAGATATGTTTTTGCCAAGTTTTCTTCTTCTGTCACTTACAACTGAGAACAAATACAAGCAAGCAACAGCTGCTGATCTGGCTCATCTCAAATCTATAATTATCCTCCACTCGTTCTTCATAGGAGAACCCCTTTGGAGGGAAGTCACAGTCATAGAAATAATTTGCATCAACCTTTTCCAGTTGGGATGCATTCCTTTCTTCTATCGCTCAGTGATATAAAAAAGGTCAATTATTCAAAAAAGAAGAAAGAAAAGAAATGGAAAAGCAAAAAAATGAAGGTAAAAGAAAAATGCCTTTAGATTCTTATTTTGTTGTAATTAAAAAATAAGAGTCAGAAAGGGAAACGAGGCTTTTGAGGTTGTGGCCTAAAAACTATGTGCTAACTAGTCAAAGGTGATTGGACCAGTTAAATGATATTGTCATATTAACTTCCCAAAGACGTTTCTCTTGAATATAGTTTCCACGGGTTGGACATGGTATAGTATGAGCAGCTATGGAATGAATGCTTAAAAAGTCCCACATTGTAATTGCAACAGACAAAATATGCATCTATTAAGAATTAGATGATTCACAATGCAATTTCAAAGATTTATCTAGATGTTAAGCCTCAGTAACTGCAGTGGTTTAATAATATGTAAATATGCATATGATTGCTTTGAAAGTTTACATATATCTTTACTTTTACCTGCAGTATCTCTATGAATAGATACTATTTGAGTGTTACAAAGGATAAGGAACTGGTGTCAGGAAAATCAGAAATGGTGTTATTCATTTTCTTGTATCTTACAGGATTACAAAGGTGGGGTTCTGTAAACTATGGGATAACCTATAGGAAGAGGATTTGGCAGTGAAATAACTGACAAAAAGACATAGCTCAGAAATCCTAATACAGAATAATTTATGATAAGATTATCGTAGAATTTAGTGTAACAAATGATAAAAGTTTCTGTATATTCAACCAAGTTTAATTGGCATTACAAGAGAAGCAGGATGACATATTTGATATGGGGGAGAGGAGACATTTTTCTAATATTGGCCAGTAAATCAGTCAACACCATCTATTAATCTAGCAGATCACATGTAGAAAGTTAGCACTCACCCCTCTCCTAGAAGAATGAAATATTTTGAGAAATATTAAAAAGGCAGAATATTATATTTCCCTGGAAACATGTTTTTTTAGATGCAGGAAGCAGACTCACTCTTAATAGCCCCCACCTTTCTTAATAGTCCCACCAGATATCAGCACTTAAGAGATAAAGAGACAGCTAGCCCTATTCATAAGCAAATTCCCTGCAGCAAAGTCTGAACAAAGGTAGGGTTAGTCCTCAGCCACAATAGGAATTGCCCAACAAGCCGAAGGGTTGTTTGGCTCATTGCATCAGCCAAACTTCAACTAAGCTTAGCTAAGACAAACTCCTAGGATTTGTACATGGCACCATGGAAATCTGACAACAGCCAATAAAATGCATGTTCTTGCACAGGAACAGGAAGTTCAAGTGCAAAGCCCAAGAGAAGGTATAAAAACCCCTCATTCTCAATTCCATGTGGTCAGCTGCCCAGAACTCACGTGGTTCTACTTCATCATTAAACCATCTTTCCAATCAGCCTCCAAGTTTCCAGTGTCTTTCTTCTGGCTTAGAAATGACCCAGATGGATTTTTTCTTCCAATGCTTAGATTTGCCATTTGGAAACTTAGCAAAGTAGGAAATTGTGAGGAACAGAACAAAATATAGTTGGATAGCCTAGAAATAAAACAGGAAAATAATTTACCAGTTTCTACTGATTTAATTATTTCTTCATTGTAACATTTTTCAACAATTAAGTGACACCAGTGTGCACATATGTTGTCAGACAGAATACACGGAAATCAAATTGATTATGTTACTGATTGAAAGAAGTCGAAGAGAGGTTCTACAGCCAGTTTCAACAATAAGATCCTAAGCACTTTCCCATCCTTTGCAAAAAGAATGCCAGGAACTGTTTTGAAGTCCTGAACTTCATTGATATGGAACCAGAGGACTATGGTATAAAATCAAACAGGGTTAAATATGGAAAGAGACTACCTAGGACCAAGCAACAGAAGAAAGCAAATTGAATGTTAGAACAAACAGTGGAAATTGCCATGATGAAAAATCAAAGCCAGGAAAGACAAATAGCTCAGAAACAAAAAAATCAGAAAAGACAAGAAGCAGGTGCTTCTTCAAGAGGCAACTGGTCCTTTGGGGCAACCATGATCTGGATGATGGAGTATCCCCATAGACCAGAAGTGTCAAACTTGATTTAATTGAGGGACACAAAATGTTGGTGAGAAAGGAAAAGGAAGTCAGGTGACTCACTATCATTTTCATTAATTTGATTAAAACTTTTGGGATAGCACCAGTGTCCACAGGGTGTGGTCAAAAGAATAAAGAGGCCAGCCAAGTCAATTTTTTATGTACAACATGCACAAAAACCTTTTCTGTCAAAGACCATAAGATTGTTCATCATTTATAAGAAATTTTTTAGAAATCTCTGTGGCGGATATGGTCCAGAAAGTGTTGAGTCAAGCGACACTTTTGTTGGGAAATAATCCTGCTCAGCTTCAGGCGATTTCTCTCCCCCTGAATTAGAAATAGGATTTTAGAACTTTTTTTTCCCCCGGAGGTGGGAGGAAGCCTTGCACGGGCCACTTTTAGCTGCTTTTAAAAAAAACCACTTCAAGCAGGAAATACGGCAGGAATGTTGACAATACAGTTTGCAGATGTCATCATTTCGCTTCTCTCCCAAGAAAATGCAGCTCAGGACAAGTCCAAGTGAAATACAATTTTCAGTATTTTTTAGACCTCGGAGGGATTAATCTCCAGCTCCGATTCTCCGATTCTCCTACTTTTCTCGCTTCCCCGCGGAAAAAGCAGCTCCGGCAAGGTTGCTGGGGAACCTCCACTCCGGCAACAGCATGCAGTAGAGAGCGACATCCTCTAGGAGGAGCTGCGCAGCTCTCCACTCCATCCCAGAAGTCCTACCTGGCATCGGCGGACTCCGGTTCCGCCCCGATCGAGGTTGTTGTGCTTTTAAACGCATGCGCAGCCGCGCCCCGTGGTGCCTCCGCCGCTGGTGTTCAGGATCGGATCTGGCAGCCGGAGCGAGAGAAGAAGTGGGAGCTGCTGTTGCTGACTCGTCGCCTGCGGCTGGGAAGGGTGGTATTGCTGGCCTCCACAGGTAAGTCCCGCCGCTGGTAGGTTTTCCTCCTCCTGCTCCTCCTTCTGGAGTCGCTCCAAAGCTGCCGCTCCAGAGGAGTCGTGACACCCAGTGGCATTGGATTGCAACTCTCATTGCCTCTGGTTAACGTGGTTGGAGATTCTGGGAGTTGTAGTTCGACACAGTTGTGGGCACCACCGGATTGCAGAAAGATGCCTTTTTTTTTGCGTGCCGCCGCCGTGGCCGCCTGCGATGAATGGAACCGCGTCTCTTTTCCCCAACTCCCTCGGCAATCGCAGTTTCTCTGTCTCCTTACTCAGGTGTTTCAGGCGTCCCTCTGACCGAGTGTCTGTGCAAGGTCACTTGAATACCCAGCTTTGGGTCTCTTTGCTCACCTGCGCCCGGCAATGATTCCTTATACACACACACGCACGCACGCACGCGCGCGCACGCACTTAGATTATATTCAGTGTTGTAGATGGGCTTCCGCCGGAGATCATTTTGAAGGGTCTTTTAACATCTATTCCGTATGATGCTTTTTAATTCGTAGGGAGAAAGGAAATACTGTGATAAACGGAGGATATAAATATATGGATAATGGCATATTGGTATTCCTGGCTTGCTAGATAACTCAGTATTATACCGTGCATTCAACGTTCAGAATCTCCTGCTGGGGCCTGAGCATCCAGCATCCATGGCGCTTTCTTATTTTCAGAGTCATCAAGCAATCATCTGCTTTGCTCTCCTTAGTCTAGACTATTTCTCAGGTTCTCTGAATTCACAGTTAACTCTCCCGGTCGCAGAATTTGCACATTTGAACTGATAGTTTGCAACATTCACGGAAGTGGATTTTGATAAAGCTGATTGTTTTCCAAGATGATGCAGCACTCGTTTTCCCCCAGAGGCTAGCACAGCCTTTCTGAAAACATTTATTTTATTTGTCAGAAAGCCAGAACTACAATAACCTAGATGCCTGAAAATATACAGACCAAAAATGTGCAAAGCTTGTGCCTTCTAAGCAATTATGTCTGGCCTAGCAGAATCTCTTCTGTTTTCCCAATGTCTGCAACTTTTGTTCTTTGCCTCCCTGAACCAGTAAGCATAACTTTTACTAAACTAGAAATGTTGGTTGCAATGGCCAAAATAATTTGGGCCTGGACTTAAGCTGGGTTTGGTAATAAATTAGTATTAACTGGAGATTACCAATATTGCAAATACGACATATTTAAAGTAATAATAGTATTATATTACTGAGGTTAAATTGGTTGAGGGAACAATGGAATATTATTGCAGGATTTACATTGAAAGTCTTTAATGAAGCTTTTGATAGAAATTGTGCATTTAATTCTTCATTGAAATTAATAGATTGTGGATTATTTTAAAAATATTGAAGTTGTACATAGCTCTTGTAAAATTACATCTGATAAATAATGGAAAATGCGTAATGCATGTATTTGAAAGCCATTGATACCTGAGCTTAATCTTTTATATATGAAAGGGGACTGTTGGCAAAAGTTAAATACAATCATATATTATTTTATATCATTCACTTTACATATGTTTTGTGCACATTGTACATGTCAGCTGCAGAACTCTTGTACGATTAAATTAACAACAGAGCAAGGATAAATAATTCACTCAAGTTGTGCTTTTAATAAATAAATAACTAGTCTATGTAATTTGCAGCTGATGTCTTTTCCTATTTAAAGGAACAATACTTGTGGAAGAGAATTCTAATGGAACTTTTTTTTGTCAATAGAGAAAATATTTTAACTAGGTTCAAGGAAAAAGTCCTTGGCATTAAATAAATTGGATGACTTTTAATTGATTTGGGGCTGTTCTGAAATGTTTCAGTGAATATCACAGAATAAACACTATTTAGAATGTTGAGAATTCAAACTGAAAGTATTTCCAGAAAGCTTTTAATATGGGCTCCAGTGGCCTCCAAAGCAAGTCAATTACAAATTGTAAAGTGCCAGGTAGGGATGTTGTTGAGTGCACTACTGAAAAGTAATCACATTATTTAACTTTAAATATAAATCAGAGGCAGTTTTTATCCTGACCATCTTTTATCAGTGTAGACTTTAATATGTTGTTCAAAGTCCAGTTCCAGACTTTGCATCTCCCAGCCCTCCCCCAAATGTTACAAACCCCTGCTATAAAATATTTTTTGCTGGGATTATTTATTTCAGTTGTTTCAGGATATTACCCCATCAGAGTGATTCGTAATTAATATTAAAATATATAATCACAATTATATCCATATATAAAGTCTTCACAATCCTGTAAACATTTTTGAGGCAATTATTTCAATAACCTTCTGGCCTCCAGTCTTGCCCTTAATAAAATACGGAGCTTTTTAGATATAGAAACCAAACATGAATTAATATGACCATCAGGATCTAAGAACCTTAAAATTTCCTAATAATCTGACATCCAGATATAAGGGTGAAATTGAAGAGAAAATGGTTTTAGTGAAGTCTTCCCTCCTATTGTAAAACAAATAGGGCTATCATCAAGCAAAGCATGTGATTAATAGACAATCAGAACTTGATATCAGCTCTGCAAATTATTGGATATTTTGTAAATGTTGTAATAGGCAAAAATGCTTCCAATTTTAAAAGTATTTTAGGTATTCAATCTTTCCCCATACATCAAAGTATTAATCCAATGTTCCTTCAATGCTATTGGAACGTAGGTTTAGGAATATCTTCCACAGTGCTGGAATCTATACTTGTGATTCAGTGATTCACTAAAAGATTGGCCCATGCCCTTCCTTACTGTACTTCATTCTTATAAAATTTTAACAAAGTATTGCCTTTGATTAGGAATATTCCTGGACAACCTGAAGAATATTATAAATCATTGATGCTGTTCAATATTGCTGTCTTATATTTTTGTCTGTAGCTGTAATAAAACCCATCAGGCACTTAGTTGCAGATGACCATCTGAGTTGGTAATGGTAGAGGTTCAACTGTAGTAGACCCCAATGTCATTTTGCCTGCATCCTTCATTTCCTTAGATTCCATCCTAAATTAATTTTGCTGATTACACAGTTTTTATAAAGACTTTTTAATACTTCTTTAGATCAGGCTTGAATCTGCTAATCTACAATTTTCTTGGCAACTTTTTCAGAAATGGTTTGCCCTTGCCTTCTTACTAAGACTAAGACAGAGTAACTGGCCAAGGTCACCCAGCAGGATGTGTACCCAAGGCAGTCCTAGAATATGCATTTGCCAGTTCCCTCTCTTCAACACATACTGTATATAGTTATTTATTTTGTCAAATTTATTTTCACCTTTTAAAAGAAGATAATCCTTCACTGTGGTATAATAAATATTTATCACCAACTATTACATTCCATTAGTCTTCATTCCTCATTGTTCTGCTCTTTTGATTATATAGTCACCTGTTTGGTTGCAGGAACTATTTTTAACAGCTGTATTGTTGAACTAAGTAACTGCTATGTTAATGAAGTTGAAGAAGTACTATGTATTAAGAAAGGTAAGTCATTTAGAGGTAATGCTGATTTTTAGTTGTCCTTTGGACTTTGTGTTCAGTTGAAAATCAAAAGATTGGCAGTTTAATCATTGCTGTATATGACAAATATTTACTATTTTTGGTCTGATATTAATCTTTATTAAAAGAGGTAGCAGATGTTAAACTCACTAAGTAGAGTCAACATATTCAGCTTTTGACGGACAACCTGTTGTTAATACTGTGTAAGTAACCCATGTTGTTTGTGCTCCTGAGGCACCTTCAAATCTCTATGTAGCTTTTATTCTTTATTCTTAGCTTGATCTTAACATAAACTTGGTGTCTAAATTAAAAAATGTAGGACTTTTGGGGGGCAGGAAAAAATATATAGGGACATTTGTTAGCAAATACAGAATAACTGAAGGGGAAAGGGGAAAGCTACCCTGTTTCCCTGAAAATAAGACCTCCCGGATAATAAGCCCAATCGGGCTTTTGAGTGTATGTGCTAAAATAAGTCCTCCCCGAAAATATTGCAACATAGCAGCAGCCATGAGGTGATCATGCTCGCCACCTCCTGTACCTCAAAAATAATAAGACCTCCCCGAATATAAGGCCAAGCACTTATTTTGGAGGTCAAAAGAAAATAAAACCCTGTCTTATTTTTGGGGAAACATAGTACTAGTTGAACTTTTAGTTGTCTTGAAAGATAACTCTGCACTGCAACTTTTTCTCTTATTTTTGGATTTATATCATGTCTTTATGCCAGAAGAAAATTAATTTTAAAATGTTTCAAAGTATTTTTTAATTTTTTGAAAGTATTCTTCTTTACCCTAAACTTTTCTGCAAAGGTTGTATTCTAGGCTTACTTACATTTATTGCAAAAGATTTCTCTAGCCTGTCACTACAGTGAAAAATAGCTAGTAATGAATCACCAAAATAACAAAAGGCATAGTCCTCTCCAATGGCTTCAAATTCACAGGTTTGTGTGTGTGTGTGTTAAAATAATCAGGCCATAAAACAAATGAAATGCTTTAAATCTAGGAGTGGTGTTCCAATCCTGTAAAAAGAAAATAGCTCAAATTAATTAACATGCCTTTGTCGTAACCTAAAAGAATGCAGCAGTGATTTTAAGATTTTAAATTCCCACCACTGTTTTCTGCCACAAAAAGTAATAAATCTTTCAGGTGGTGGGAGCATTGCACTCTTTTCATTCTTTACCCCTTGTAAAAAAAATGTAGTCAGAATTTTTAATGTTTTTCCCCCCCTTGTTACTTAGATGTATTGGGAATGTGGCTCTGAAACTAGATGCTGGTCTTTGAACAAAGGAAAACTGGCGAGTAATGTAATTCTATTTGCTTGGCTGAAGTTTAACCTGATTCCAACTGGGTTGCTTCCATTAATGATAGCTGATAGAGATAGATCTGCTTGGTGGAAAAACACTATAAGGGAAAAAACTGACTTACCGCATTTTCTCTGAATTTTCGTTACTTTCTGGTCTTGTAAGTGTTTATTGGACTTCTCCACTAACTGTCTGCATATTTATT